GGAGATATACCTGAGGTGCTAGTCCAACTCTAGCTCACTTCTCTATTCTTTTGAATATGGGGGAAAGGATTCAGGGCAGTGGCACTGACAACTAAGACCTCTTTGGAGGAGCAAATAGAGATGATATTTCAAGACAAGAAAAAGTTCTTCAACACAGACCTGCATGTGAACACAGGGTCAGCTGTGCATGGAAATGGAAGGAGACCCTCAGGGTTATACAAAAGTACATACAAGAGGAAGTGAGGGGAAAGGGAAAAATAATACAAGGGGGAGAAATGAATGACAGTAGAGGGATTAGAGAGAGAAGAGGGGAGGGGAGGGGAGGGGAGGTTGGATAGTAGAGGATAGGAAAGGCAGCAGAATACAACAGACACTAGTATGGCAATATGTAAATCAATGGATGTGTAACTGATGTGATTCTGCAATCTGTATATGGGGTAAAAATGGGAGCTCATAACCCACTTGAATCAAAGGGTGAAATATGATATATCAAGAACTATGTAATGTTTTGAACAACCAACAATAAAAAATTTAAAAAAATAAAAAAATAACAATAAAACAAAAAATATATATCCATAGCTATGATAAAGTTTAAGTTATGAACTAGGCACAACAACAATAATAAAATACAATAATTATAACAACAAAAAAAAAATCAAATTTCATCCCACAGAATCTGTATTAACTCTGTAATGCTAGACCACAATCTAGAGAATTCATATGCCCTAAAGAGAAAGCACAGATGTTCTCACCCAAAAGTACACAGATGACCGTGCTTTCAGCCCTGGATAGAACCTGCACTCACTCATTTTGCACTATGTACCATCATAACAAATAATAAGCACACATACCCACAAACAAAAACACATTAACACAAACACATATATGCATAAACACACTCAGCATCTTCTCCCTTAGCAGCACCATTCACCAGATAGGTACCACATCACACATGTATTTCCACAAGACCTATTACAATCACATTTTGACATAGGTGTACCAATTATACTCTTCAAAAAACACATACCACACAGATCATTCTGAAACATTATGATATATACACACCTATTTCACATGTACACACACACAGGGACCTTCTCATAGCCAATTTATCTCCTTATATTTGAAATTTTCTTTCTTAGAAACCAATAAATTACATCAACATGTCCCATGACCCTCAGAGATGCTTCTAGTACAGAATTTGAATGAATCAGAGACAGCTTTCCCTTTCCATAAACTTCCAATGCCCTTGAGCCTTTATGTTCTCATTGAAGTGAAAATGGAGTCATGAGAGTTTTAATAAACTGTACATGGTGGAAGGAAAATGGGGTATGTCTCTCCATGGGACATATCAAAATGAGGAACTTCTTCCTGGTAAAGGTAATAATACAAACAATTGCCTTTCATGAGAAGATCCTTCCCCGAAGTGGTAAACCTCTCTTTTGTGTTTGCAAAAGAAACCCCAAGATTGAGCTCAGCTTGGATGGGTAGCCTACAAGAAGAGGAAGGAGGGTGAAAGTCCAGTAGAATTTATGCCTCTGGAGTAATTACTCCAGGGATAAAATGCCTGAATGGCTATTGTATAAAGAAAAATATTTATACACATAAAAGTAAATATGTAAATATTATATATATATATATATATATATATATATATATATATATATATATATATATATATAAATTTGTCAATTTTCCACAAGCACTTCCTATTGCCTCACAAAACCTGTTTTAACTCTGTAATGCTAGACCAGTCTCACGAAAACTCACATGTTCTGAAGGGAGGGCATTTTTATATGCAAATATTCTCACCCAAATATCCATGGATGACAAGGTTTTCTTTCCTTTACAGACCCACAACCTCTTATATGTAACATGTCCATCCTAAGAGAGAACACAAGCACACATTTAAACACACAACTCAAACACAAATATACACACCATATACATACTCACAAAAAAGCATACCATTCAAAGCACCCATTTACCAACAATAATATTCCCCTGATGGGAACTAGAACATATTTAGGATATATTCATAATACCTAAGACTATGCCATTTTCCACATTGATGTAATGAGTACATATCTCAGATAACACATACCAGAGAATTCTGACACATTTCGGGTTCATGTACCCCTATTCCACACGCCCACATGAAAAGACATTCACATGGCCATCTTAGGTACTTACATATGAAATTTCAAACCTAAACATCAATAAATTGCATTAATTTTCTTCTTCATGTCCTTTAATCCTACAAGATGACTTTAGTACGGAATTTGAACACATCCACATGCCAAATTTTCCATGCACTATGCCAATAAGCCTCTTATGTCCTCAGTGTATTAGAAAAAGAAGAGTTGTGAGAGTTTAGTATTTGATGGTTTGAATGAAATGGGTTGTGGCTGTGTTAGGGCATACAGAGAGGGAGGCAAGCCTTTGAAACAAGGCAAAATACAATCACCTTTTCTGAGAAGATCCCTACAGAGTTCAACATCTCTCAAGTGCCTAAAAAAGAGCTCCTAATGGACAGTGAGTTCACAGTGAATAGAAAAGCCTGGATGAAAGGGAGGAAGCTGAGAACCCAGTAGACTCCTGCCTCTGGATGAGAGTTCTGGGTCGGGAATATGTAAATGGCTACTGGTCTTGGAGATATATATATATTCATTTATTCATTACAATAGTAATAAATATATATTTTATATATTTATTACTATTGTATATTTATATTGTATTAATATATATTTACTATATATAATTACTATTGTATATTTATATCAATATATATAAATATATTTGTAACTTATATATGATGTATATATAGTAAATGCATTGGTAAATATATTTGTAAATATGTATATGTAATGTACATATAATAAATGTATTTGTAGATGTATAAATATATATTTACATATAAGATATTTGTAAATATATGAATGTATATGTTTGTAATATATACAATATTTGTAAATATATTTATAATATAGTTCAAATATATCTATTATATTTATGAATATATACATAAATATATATATATATAATAAACAGGTCACAATGAACGGCTCTCCATAAGCATTCTACAAATATTTTATTTGCACAATTTCTCATGGAGAAATTCAACTAACATTAATATCCATCCTTTAGTGATTGAACATCACATTTTAGTTATGATTCAGTTTCCAATAATCTATGTACATTTCTTAAAATATAACATTCAAGATATTCTATCACAGAAAATCTACTTCATCCATGATTACAATAATTGTTGTTTACCTTTACTTTGAAATTTTGAATGGGAAAGTCATTGTAATTAGAGAGAGAGAGGAAGTTCCAAGCGTAGTAATGCCTGAAATAAAATAGTCACAAAACATATCTGTTTTGGAATGATATAGAGCACATATTGTGCTATATCTCAATGATTGTTGATATTGCTACATTTTCAGGGTTCCAGATATTCCAACAGGTTGCTCCTGCCCCATGTAGGATGAACTGGATTCAGGTAGGAGGAGAAACTTCAACATCTGAAGAAGATTCCAAATATATCTTCTCAGAAAGCAAGCACATTCCTACTGATGAGCATGCTAAAACACCCGGTAAGCTCCTCATAATTAGCATGAGAATCTTCATGGTGGTAACAAAACCTGAAACAAAATATCCACTCCTCAATATATCTATTTTTGGATGACACAGAACTCAGATTATGTTATGCCTCAGTATTTGTAGTTGTTGCTGTTGTTTCATTCTCCAGATTTCCAGAAGTGGAAAGGCATTGCTATTGAAAAATACGAGCTAGAAGCAGCCAGGACTCAGGCAGCAGGACAAAATTCATCTGATTCAAAATATTTCAGCTGTCTATCCACTACCACTAAACTCCTTCCTACTGAGGAGCATGGTAAGACTGGATGCAAAAGTGAGGTTGAGCTCAGGCAGGAGATATACCTGAGGTGCTAGTCCAACTCTAGCTCACTTCTCTATTCTTTTGAATATGGGGGAAAGGATTCAGGGCAGAGGCACTGACAACTAAGACCTCTTGGGAGGAGCAAATAGAGATGATATTTCAAAACAAGAAAAAGTTCTTCAACACAGACCTGCATGTGAACACAGGGTCAGCTGTGCATGGAAATGGAAGGAGACCCTCAGGGTTATACAAAAGTACATACAAGAGGAAGTGAGGGGAAAGGGAAAAATAATACAAGGGGGAGAAATGAATGACAGTAGAGGGAGTAGAGAGAGAAGAGGGGAGGGGAGGGGAGGGGAGGGGGGATAGTAGAGGATAGGAAAGGCAGCAGAATACAACAGACACTAGTATGGCAATATGTAAATCAATGGATGTGTAACTGATGTGATTCTGCAATCTGTATATGGGGTAAAAATGGGAGTTCATAACCCACTTGAATCAAAGGGTGAAATATGATATATCAAGAACTATGTAATGTTTTGAACAACCAACAATAAAAAATTTAAAAAAATAAAAAAATAAAATAAAAATATATATCCATAGCTATGATAAAGTTTAAGTTATGAACTAGGCACAACAACAATAATAAAATACAATAATTATAACAACAAAAAAAAAAAGATCAAATTTCATCCCACAGAATCTGTATTAACTCTGTAATGCTAGACCACAATCTAGAGAATTCATATGCCCTAAAGAGAAAGCACAGATGTTCTCACCCAAAAGTACACAGATGACCGTGCTTTCAGCCCTGGATAGAACCTGCACTCACTCATTTTGCACTATGTACCATCATAACAAATAATAAGCACACATACCCACAAACAGAAACACATTAACACAAACACATATATGCATAAACACACTCAGCATCTTCTCCCTTAGCAGCACCATTCACCAGATAGGTACCACATCACACATGTATTTCCACAAGACCTATTACAATCACATTTTGACATAGGTGTACCAATTATACTCTTCAAAAAACACATACCACACAGATCATTCTGAAACATTATGATATATACACACCTATTTCACATGTACACACACACAGGGACCTTCTCATAGCCAATTTATCTCCTTATATTTGAAATTTTCTTTCTTAGAAACCAATAAATTACATCAACATGTCCCATGACCCTCAGAGATGCTTCTAGTACAGAATTTGAATGAATCAGAGACAGCTTTCCCTTTCCATAAACTTCCAATGCCCTTGAGCCTTTATGTTCTCATTGAAGTGAAAATGGAGTCATGAGAGTTTTAATAAACTGTACATGGTGGAAGGAAAATGGGGTATGTCTCTCCATGGGACATATCAAAATGAGGAACTTCTTCCTGGTAAAGGTAATAATACAAACAATTGCCTTTCATGAGAAGATCCTTCCCCGAAGTGGTAAACCTCTCTTTTGTGTTTGCAAAAGAAACCCCAAGATTGAGCTCAGCTTGGATGGGTAGCCTACAAGAAGAGGAAGGAGGGTGAAAGTCCAGTAGAATTTATGCCTCTGGAGTAATTACTCCAGGGATAAAATGCCTGAATGGCTATTGTATAAAGAAAAATATTTATACACATAAAAGTAAATATGTAAATATTATGTATATATATATTTATATATATATATATAAATTTGTCAATTTTCCACAAGCACTTCCTATTGCCTCACAAAACCTGTTTTAACTCTGTAATGCTAGACCAATCTCACGAAAACTCACATGTTCTGAAGGGAGGGCATTTTTATATGCAAATATTCTCACCCAAATATCCATGGATGACAAGGTTTTCTTTCCTTTACAGACCCACAACCTCTTATATGTAACATGTCCATCCTAAGAGAGAACACAAGCACACATTTAAACACACAACTCAAACACAAATATACACACCATATACATACTCACAAAAAAGCATACCATTCAAAGCACCCATTTACCAACAATAATATTCCCCTGATGGGAACTAGAACATATTTAGGATATATTCATAATACCTAAGACTATGCCATTTTCCACATTGATGTAATGAGTACATATCTCAGATAACACATACCAGAGAATTCTGACACATTTCGGGTTCATGTACCCCTATTCCACACGCCCACATGAAAAGACATTCACATGGCCATCTTAGGTACTTACATATGAAATTTCAAACCTAAACATCAATAAATTGCATTAATTTTCTTCTTCATGTCCTTTAATCCTACAAGATGACTTTAGTACGGAATTTGAACACATCCACATGCCAAATTTTCCATGCACTATGCCAATAAGCCTCTTATGTCCTCAGTGTATTAGAAAAAGAAGAGTTGTGAGAGTTTAGTATTTGATGGTTTGAATGAAATGGGTTGTGGCTGTGTTAGGGCATACAGAGAGGGAGGCAAGCCTTTGAAACAAGGCAAAATACAATCACCTTTTCTGAGAAGATCCCTACAGAGTTCAACATCTCTCAAGTGCCTAAAAAAGAGCTCCTAATGGACAGTGAGTTCACAGTGAATAGAAAAGCCTGGATGAAAGGGAGGAAGCTGAGAACCCAGTAGACTCCTGCCTCTGGATGAGAGTTCTGGGTCGGGAATATGTAAATGGCTACTGGTCTTGGAGATATATATATATTCATTTATTTATTACAATAGTAATAAATATATATTTTATATATTTATTACTATTGTATATTTATATTGTATTAATATATATTTACTATATATAATTACTATTGTATATTTATATCAATATATATAAATATATTTGTAACTTATATATGATGTATATATAGTAAATGCATTGGTAAATATATTTGTAAATATGTATATGTAATGTACATATAATAAATGTATTTGTAGATATATAAATATATATTTACATATAAGATATTTGTAAATATATGAATGTATATGTTTGTAATATATACAATATTTGTAAATATATTTATAATATAGTTCAAATATATCTATTATATTTATGAATATATACATAAATATATATATATAATAAACAGGTCACAATGAACGGCTCTCCATAAGCATTCTACAAATATTTTATTTGCACAATTTCTCATGGAGAAATTCAACTAACATTAATATCCATCCTTTAGTGATTGAACATCACATTTTAGTTATGATTCAGTTTCCAATAATCTATGTACATTTCTTAAAATATAACATTCAAGATATTCTATCACAGAAAATCTACTTCATCCATGATTACAATAATTGTTGTTTACCTTTACTTTGAAATTTTGAATGGGAAAGTCATTGTAATTAGAGAGAGAGAGGAAGTTCCAAGCGTAGTAATGCCTGAAATAAAATAGTCACAAAACATATCTGTTTTGGAATGATATAGAGCACATATTGTGCTATATCTCAATGATTGTTGATATTGCTACATTTTCAGGGTTCCAGATATTCCAACAGGTTGCTCCTGCCCCATGTAGGATGAACTGGATTCAGGTAGGAGGAGAAACTTCAACATCTGAAGAAGATTCCAAATATATCTTCTCAGAAAGCAAGCACATTCCTACTGATGAGCATGCTAAAACACCCGGTAAGCTCCTCATAATTAGCATGAGAATCTTCATGGTGGTAACAAAACCTGAAACAAAATATCCACTCCTCAATATATCTATTTTTGGATGACACAGAACTCAGATTATGTTATGCCTCAGTATTTGTAGTTGTTGCTGTTGTTTCGTTCTCCAGATTTCCAGAAGTGGAAAGGCATTGCTATTGAAAAATACGAGCTAGAAGCAGCCAGGACTCAGGCAGCAGGACAAAATTCATCTGATTCAAAATATTTCAGCTGTCTATCCACTACCACTAAACTCCTTCCTACTGAGGAGCATGGTAAGACTGGATGCAAAAGTGAGGTTGAGCTCAGGCAGGAGATATACCTGAGGTGCTAGTCCAACTCTAGCTCACTTCTCTATTCTTTTGAATATGGGGGAAAGGATTCAGGGCAGAGGCACTGACAACTAAGACCTCTTGGGAGGAGCAAATAGAGATGATATTTCAAGACAAGAAAAAGTTCTTCAACACAGACCTGCATGTGAACACAGGGTCAGCTGTGCATGGAAATGGAAGGAGACCCTCAGGGTTATACAAAAGTACATACAAGAGGAAGTGAGGGGAAAGGGAAAAATAATACAAGGGGGAGAAATGAATGACAGTAGAGGGAGTAGAGAGAGAAGAGGGGAGGGGAGGGGAGGGGAGGGGGGATAGTAGAGGATAGGAAAGGCAGCAGAATACAACAGACACTAGTATGGCAATATGTAAATCAATGGATGTGTAACTGATGTGATTCTGCAATCTGTATATGGGGTAAAAATGGGAGCTCATAACCCACTTGAATCAAAGGGTGAAATATGATATATCAAGAACTATGTAATGTTTTGAACAACCAACAATAAAAAATTTTAAAAAATAAAAAAATAAAAATAAAATAAAAAATATATATCCATAGCTATGATAAAGTTTAAGTTATGAACTAGGCACAACAACAATAATAAAATACAATAATTATAACAACAAAAAAAAGATCAAATTTCATCCCACAGAATCTGTATTAACTCTGTAATGCTAGACCACAATCTAGAGAATTCATATGCCCTAAAGAGAAAGCACAGATGTTCTCACCCAAAAGTACACAGATGACCGTGCTTTCAGCCCTGGATAGAACCTGCACTCACTCATTTTGCACTATGTACCATCATAACAAATAATAACCACACATACCCACAAACAAAAACACATTAACACAAACACATATATGCATAAACACACTCAGCATCTTCTCCCTTAGCAGCACCATTCACCAGATAGGTACCACATCACACATGTATTTCCACAAGACCTATTACAATCACATTTTGACATAGGTGTACCAATTATACTCTTCAAAAAACACATACCACACAGATCATTCTGAAACATTATGATATATACACACCTATTTCACATGTACACACACACAGGGACCTTCTCATAGCCAATTTATCTCCTTATATTTGAAATTTTCTTTCTTAGAAACCAATAAATTACATCAACATGTCCCATGACCCTCAGAGATGCTTCTAGTACAGAATTTGAATGAATCAGAGACAGCTTTCCCTTTCCATAAACTTCCAATGCCCTTGAGCCTTTATGTTCTCATTGAAGTGAAAATGGAGTCATGAGAGTTTTAATAAACTGTACATGGTGGAAGGAAAATGGGGTATGTCTCTCCATGGGACATATCAAAATGAGGAACTTCTTCCTGGTAAAGGTAATAATACAAACAATTGCCTTTCATGAGAAGATCCTTCCCCGAAGTGGTAAACCTCTCTTTTGTGTTTGCAAAAGAAACCCCAAGATTGAGCTCAGCTTGGATGGGTAGCCTACAAGAAGAGGAAGGAGGGTGAAAGTCCAGTAGAATTTATGCCTCTGGAGTAATTACTCCAGGGATAAAATGCCTGAATGGCTATTGTATAAAGAAAAATATTTATACACATAAAAGTAAATATGTAAATATTATGTATATATATATATATATATATATATATATATATATATATATATATATAAATTTGTCAATTTTCCACAAGCACTTCCTATTGCCTCACAAAACCTGTTTTAACTCTGTAATGCTAGACCAATCTCACGAAAACTCACATGTTCTGAAGGGAGGGCATTTTTATATGCAAATATTCTCACCCAAATATCCATGGATGACAAGGTTTTCTTTCCTTTACAGACCCACAACCTCTTATATGTAACATGTCCATCCTAAGAGAGAACACAAGCACACATTTAAACACACAACTCAAACACAAATATACACACCATATACATACTCACAAAAAAGCATACCATTCAAAGCACCCATTTACCAACAATAATATTCCCCTGATGGGAACTAGAACATATTTAGGATATATTCATAATACCTAAGACTATGCCATTTTCCACATTGATGTAATGAGTACATATCTCAGATAACACATACCAGAGAATTCTGACACATTTCGGGTTCATGTACCCCTATTCCACACGCCCACATGAAAAGACATTCACATGGCCATCTTAGGTACTTACATATGAAATTTCAAACCTAAACATCAATAAATTGCATTAATTTTCTTCTTCATGTCCTTTAATCCTACAAGATGACTTTAGTACGGAATTTGAACACATCCACATGCCAAATTTTCCATGCACTATGCCAATAAGCCTCTTATGTCCTCAGTGTATTAGAAAAAGAAGAGTTGTGAGAGTTTAGTATTTGATGGTTTGAATGAAATGGGTTGTGGCTGTGTTAGGGCATACAGAGAGGGAGGCAAGCCTTTGAAACAAGGCAAAATACAATCACCTTTTCTGAGAAGATCCCTACAGAGTTCAACATCTCTCAAGTGCCTAAAAAAGAGCTCCTAATGGACAGTGAGTTCACAGTGAATAGAAAAGCCTGGATGAAAGGGAGGAAGCTGAGAACCCAGTAGACTCCTGCCTCTGGATGAGAGTTCTGGGTCGGGAATATGTAAATGGCTACTGGTCTTGGAGATATATATATATATATATATTCATTTATTCATTACAATAGTAATAAATATATATTTTATATATTTATTACTATTGTATATTTATATTGTATTAATATATATTTACTATATATAATTACTATTGTATATTTATATCAATATATATAAATATATTTGTAACTTATATATGATGTATATATAGTAAATGCATTGGTAAATATATTTGTAAATATGTATATGTAATGTACATATAATAAATGTATTTGTAGATATATAAATATATATTTACATATAAGATATTTGTAAATATATGAATGTATATGTTTGTAATATATACAATATTTGTAAATATATTTATAATATAGTTCAAATATATCTATTATATTTATGAATATATACATGAATATATATATAATAAACAGGTCACAATGAACGGCTCTCCATAAGCATTCTACAAATATTTTATTTGCACAATTTCTCATGGAGAAATTCAACTAACATTAATATCCATCCTTTAGTGATTGAACATCACATTTTAGTTATGATTCAGTTTCCAATAATCTATGTACATTTCTTAAAATATAACATTCAAGATATTCTATCACAGAAAATCTACTTCATCCATGATTACAATAATTGTTGTTTACCTTTACTTTGAAATTTTGAATGGGAAAGTCATTGTAATTAGAGAGAGAGAGGAAGTTCCAAGCGTAGTAATGCCTGAAATAAAATAGTCACAAAACATATCTGTTTTGGAATGATATAGAGCACATATTGTGCTATATCTCAATGATTGTTGATATTGCTACATTTTCAGGGTTCCAGATATTCCAACAGGTTGCTCCTGCCCCATGTAGGATGAACTGGATTCAGGTAGGAGGAGAAACTTCAACATCTGAAGAAGATTCCAAATATATCTTCTCAGAAAGCAAGCACATTCCTACTGATGAGCATGCTAAAACACCCGGTAAGCTCCTCATAATTAGCATGAGAATCTTCATGGTGGTAACAAAACCTGAAACAAAATATCCACTCCTCAATATATCTATTTTTGGATGACACAGAACTCAGATTATGTTATGCCTCAGTATTTGTAGTTGTTGCTGTTGTTTCGTTCTCCAGATTTCCAGAAGTGGAAAGGCATTGCTATTGAAAAATACGAGCTAGAAGCAGCCAGGACTCAGGCAGCAGGACAAAATTCATCTGATTCAAAATATTTCAGCTGTCTATCCACTACCACTAAACTCCTTCCTACTGAGGAGCATGGTAAGACTGGATGCAAAAGTGAGGTTGAGCTCAGGCAGGAGATATACCTGAGGTGCTAGTCCAACTCTAGCTCACTTCTCTATTCTTTTGAATATGGGGGAAAGGATTCAGGGCAGAGGCACTGACAACTAAGACCTCTTGGGAGGAGCAAATAGAGATGATATTTCAAGACAAGAAAAAGTTCTTCAACACAGACCTGCATGTGAACACAGGGTCAGCTGTGATGGAGGCAGGGGACATGCTAAGTGGTAAATGGGAATTTGTCTAGAAACTTTCCCCTCAGATGGCACAAATAAAGCTCACACACTCATATGTTCACAACTTTCAAATAGGTATGGTCCAATATCTCCTTCTTTGTTCTCCCCTTCAATAGTCCCCTCTTTCTGCACTCATCTTTTACTCTATTACCCTTATTTAGGTATGCATTTGCCTCCTTATTTCTAAAAAAAAAAAAAAAAAAATTCATGAGTTCAGTGATTTAGACATCAATCCTATTGATGCTTCACATCCCTTCACACAGATAACTTGTGTGACTCCTTCCTTCAATGCCAGACCAAGACCTAGAAAACTTATATGTCCTAAAAAGAAGCATTTTAATATATAGTTTTTCACCCAAATATCTATGGATGATGCCGATTTCTGCTCTTCATATACCAGCCCAAATATATATATATATATATATATATATATATATATATATATATATAGTATATTCTCTCATAATGGGAAATGCAAACACACATGCTCAAACATACACACATAATCACACACATACACACAAATACACACACACATACATACACATTGACTTATCACCATCCCTCTTTTCCAGCACCTAATTTATTCACCTGATTTGTAATAAAACATACATATTTACACAAAGCCTATCACCATATTATCATTTTTCATAAATATGTACACACCTCAGATAAAAGGTACAGAACAGAACATTCTCAGATACATGCACCCCTATATTTTCATGCCCAAACACAGGTTATTTTATGTCCTATATCCCAGAAATTTATAAATTATATCAATATTTTAAAAGCCTTCTATCCTTTGAGATGCCTTTTGTACAGTATTTGGAGGAAATGGAGACTTATTCCCCCTTTCCACATTTCTGATTTTCAATGTCTTGGCCAAGGAGAGCTGTACATCCCCAATGCATATGAACAAGGAAGGAGACAGGAAAGTGTCATTTATGTATGTTCAAATGAAAGTAGAGTTTCTGTGTTATGTTACTGAAGGCAAAAATAAAAAAAATGCATGAATAAAAAAAAATCACTTTTCCTGAGAAAGACACCTACAGAGGTAAACTTCCCAACATGTGTCTACCAAAGAACCCTAAACTGACAGTAATTTCAGCTTGGACAATGTGACCAAGAGGAAGGGAGGCTGAGAGCACAAAGGGACTTACTCAATCAAAGACAATCCTAGGGGAAAAGGCCCAAATGTCTGCAGGCCATAGACATATGAACCTAGATGTTGTACATATACATATAAACATATCTATGTAGTTGTCTATGTTGATAGCACAACAGAATTAGTTAAGAAACTTTACTCCATATCCATTATTTGCCCAATTTATAAAGATAGAAATTAGGTGACAAAGATAAAACCTATACTTTGTTGACTATATATCACATTTGTGATAAAATTGTTTCCAACATTCTGTATACTTTTCTAAAACTATCACAATTAAGATTTCCAATTACAGTAACAACTAACACATGCTATTTTAATAACAACTAAATATTTTTAAAATTTCAATAGTAAACTCAACATAAGAGAATGTTTCATGGTGGTTAATAATACCTGAAATAAAATATCCACTCAATATGTCTCCTTTTGGATGACCCAGAACCCAGATTATGCTATGCCTCAGTATTTGTAATTGTTGCTGTTGTTTCATTCTCCAGATTTCCAGAAGTGGAAAGACATTGCTAGTGAACCATACATGCTGGAAGCATCCAAGATTCAGGCAGCAGGAGGGAACTCATCTGATTCAAAATATGTCAGCTGTCTCTCTACTACCAGCGAAATCCTTCCTCCTGAGAAGCATGGTAAGACAGATGCAAAGGTGGGGTTGAGCTCAGGTAAGTGGTACAGTTGAGGTGCTAGTCCAATCTTTGCTTGCTTCTCTATTTTGAATGGGGGGAAGGGATTCAGGGCAGAGACACTGACACCGAAGTCTCTTGAGAGGAGCAAATAGTGAATATCCTTCAAGATAGGAAAAAATTCCTCAACACAACCATGCAGGTGTAAGGGAAACAGGCAACATGGTAAAAGGTGTATGGAAATTTGTTCAGAAACTTGCTCCTCAGATGACACAATTAAAGCTCAAGACATACTCACATACTAGAAACCTTCAAATATGGCCTCATTTCTCCATTGTTATACTTCTCTTGTTTAATAATCCCCTTTCTCCATTCGCCTTTCCTCTATTACCATAACACAGGTATTCCCCCACTCCCTCATTCCTATACACAACCATTCTTATATTCACTACTTTCCACATTAATCTCATAAATGCTTAGCATGCCTTCACACAAATAACTTGTGTTAAATTCATAATGCTATATAGTTATCTATGTTTTGTACCAAGAGGTACAAAATTTCTATGTCCTGAAAAAAAAGTATATTCAAATATAGATTTTCTCACCCAAATGTCCATGGGTGAACATGTTTCTATTCTTTTTAGATCAGCACTATGTACCTCATATTGGAAAGCATAAACATGTACTCAAATGCAATCATAAAAATACTAACAGAAGTACACATCATCACAAGTACACACAAACATAAATTCATCACCATCCCTCTTAACAAGAACCAAACATATATATCTGATATATAACAAAACATACCTATAGTTGCAGATAATCTACCACCATCTCATTTTCCATGGAGATGTACCATGTACACACCTCATAAAATACAAAACAGAGAATTCCAAGATACAGGCACCACAAATTTTCAAGCCTAATCACAGCCTGTGTTATACCTTATATTTGAAGTATACTTTCCAAGCAATTGATAAATTGCATCAATGTGTTATAGTTGATCTATCCTCTGAGATCACCTTGTACAATATGTGGAGGAAATGAAGATTTTTTCTCCGACCCACATTTTTAATATTCAATGCCTTTGGTGAAAGATCCGTGTACATCATCAGGACATATGAAGAAGGAAAGAGTCATGAAAATGAATGTGTAGTATAAGTATGTTCAAATGAAAGTAGGGTGTCTGTCTTAACGGGCTACAGAAGTGGGAGAATGTTCTACCCAAAGGCAAGAACACAACTGCTTTTCCTGAGAAGATACCTGCAGAGGTAAACCCTTCTCATGTGTTTACAAAAGAACCTCTGAGAGTGAGTTCAGCTTGGACAATGAAGTCCAAATGGAAGACAGGCTGAGAGCCCAGCAGAACTTCACCTAATGAAGGAAAGTCCCAGTGCAAAAAGCTGAATGGCTGATGCCATGGACACATGAACTTAGATATTGTAACATGTACATACAAACATATTTACATATTTATGTGTATTGATATATGACAAAAATAGTTAAATAATAATCTTTTACTACATATCTATATTTGCCCAAATTATCAAGAGGGAAATTAACAAAAACAAAACAATAACACCCATACATTTTTGATTACATATTACATTTTTTATAAGATTCCGTTTCCAATTTCTGTATATTTTTCTAAAAATTTCACAACTAAGATTTCCAATCACATTGTACTCTAACACACACACCATTTTAACAACTACTATTTATTTAAAAATTTTGAATGGTAAACTAATGGTAATTAGCATGAGAGAAAATTTCATGGTGGTAACAATATCTGAAATAAAATATCCACACAGTATATTTATTTTTGAATGACACAGAACTTATTGTTGTTTCACTCTCCAGATTTCCAGAACTGGAAAGAGTCATCTATTGAACCATGTATGCTGGAAGCAGCCAGTACTCAGGCAGCAGGAGAGAATTCATTTGATTCAGAATATGTCACCTTTCTCTCCACTACCAGCAAACCCCATCCCATTGAGGAGCATGGTAAGGCAGATGCAAAAGTGGGGTTGAGCTCAGACAAGAGGTACAGCTGAGATACTAGTCCAACCCTTGCTCACTTCTCTATTCTTTTGAATAGCAGGGAGGGACTCAAGGCACAGGCACCAATATTGAGGCCTCTTGTGAAGTGTGAATAGTGAATGTCCCTCAAAATAGGGCAAAGTTCCTCAGCACAGGCCTGCATATGAATACTGGGGCAGCTGTGGGGGAGACAAGGGAGATGTTCAATGTATGTGGGCATTTGATCAGAAACTTCTCCCTTAGAGGCACAACTCAAGTTCACACACTCATGTGTTAGAAACCATTATACTAGGTTTTGCCCAATTTCTCCTTCCTTATACTTATTTTCTCATTCAGTAGTCCCTTCTTTCTCCATTCATCTTTCCTCTATTACCATTACAGAACTGTACAACCTTTTCCCCTCATTCCTACAAACAATGATTCTTAGATTCTCTGTTTTCCACATTAATCCCATAAATGCTTCATATGGCTTCACGTAGATAACTTGTGTTAACTTTATAATGCTAAATTGGACCTAGAAAATGTATATTTTCTTTAAAAGAAGCCTTTTCATATTTAGATTTTCTCATCTAAATGTCTGTGGATGTTGGTTATTTCTTTCTTTAGTAGATCTGCACACACTTATATGTAGTGTGTATTCTCCTAATGGAAAATGCAAACATGTGTGCTAAGACATACATGCAAAATTAAATGCATACACACAAACGAGGACATATACAAACACACACACACACACACACACATTCACTTATCATCCCTCTACTTTATCAGTACCAAATATATTCACCTGATATATAACAAAAGATACATATAATTGCATAAAACCTACCACCATCTCATTTTCCATAGAGATGTACCATGTACTCACCTCCAATAAAAAGTAAAAAAAAAAAGAATGCTCTCACTTCTCATCCCCAGTTACTGTATATCTTATATCCTTATAATTGAGAATTACTTCACAGAAATAGATAAATCACATTAGTGTTGTATCCTCTGAGATGACAGAAGATCCTCTTCTCTCCTCTGAGATGACCTTTGTAGAATATTTAGAGGAAATGGAGACTCCCTCCTGCTTTCCACATTTCCAGTTTTCAAAGCTCTTGGACAAGGACCCCTGTACATCCTCAGTGCATATGAAGAAGGCAAGAGTGATGAAAGTGTAGTATATGGATGTACAAATGAAAGTAGTAGGGTTTCTGTGTTATGAGTTACAGAAGGCAAAAATAAAAAAGGCATGAATACAAAAAAATCACCTTTCCTGAGAAAAGACACCTCTAAAGGTCAACCTCTCACATATGTCTACAAAAGAGCCCCTAAATGACAGTGATTCAGCTTGGACAATGTGACCCAAGAGGAAGGGAGGCTGAGAGCTCAGCAGAATTCATCCAATGGTGAAGAGTTCCAGGGAAAAACCTGAATGGCTGCCGAATATGAACATATTAACTTAGATTTTGTACATGGACATATAAACGTATCTGTTTATGTATATTTATAACTTAACAGAAATTGTTGCTTAATGCACTTTACTTCATATACACTATTTGCCCAATTTTTCACAAAGGAAATTATATGAAAATAATAACACCATAATGTAATGACTATCGTATTCGTGATAAGGTTCAGTTTCCTATATTCTGTGTATTTTCCAAAAAGATCACATTCATGATTTTCAATCACAGTGGCATCTAACACACAAACCATTTTAACAACTACTGTTTATTTCAAAATTTTGAATGATAAACATATCATAATTAGCTAAGTGCATGTTTCATGGTGGTAATAATACCTGAAACAAAATATTCACTCAATATATCTGTTTTTGAATAACATAGAAGCCAAATTATGTTATGCCTCAGTATTTGCTGTTGTTTCATTCTCCAGATTTCCAGAAGTGGAAAAGCATTATTACCAAAAAATACATGCTGGAAGCAGCCAGAACTCAGGCAGCAGTAGTGAATTCATCTGATTCAGAATATTTCACCTGTGTCTCCACTTCCAGCAAACTCCTTCCTACTGAGGAGCGTGGTAAGACAGATGCAAAGGTGGAATTGAGCTCAGGCAGGAGGTAGAGCTGAGGTTCTAGTCCAACCCTTGCTTGCTTCTCTGTGAATCCAGAAAGTGGCACTAATACTGAGGCTTCTTGTGGGGAGCAAATAGGTAATGTCCTTCAAAATAGGGAAAAGTTCCTCAGCACAAACTTGCATGTGAACACTGGGGCAGCTGTGGGGGAGACTTGGGACATGCTAAGATGTGTAGGGGAACTTGATCAGAAATATCCCTTTCAGATGGCACCACTAAAGCTCACACACTCATGTGTTACACACTTTCAAACTAGGTATAGTCCCAATTTTCCTCCTTGGTACTTATTCTCTCATTCATTTGTCCTGTTTTTCCAGCCTATTTTCCTATATTACCAATACAGAGGTACTCCATTGTCCCCTTATTCTTACAACCATTCTTAGATTCACTGTTTACAAATTAATCCCATAAATGCTTCACATCCCCTCACCCAGATAACTTGTGATAACCTTGTGATGCTGGATGAAGACCTTGAAAATGTGCATGTCCTGAGAAAGAAGCATTTTCCTATGTGGATTTTCTCACCCAAATGTCTATAATGATGGCTGATTACTGTCCATCATGAACAAGCACACACTTATATATACTATGTGCTCTCATAATGGAAAATGCAATCACACATGCTCAAACACATACACACAAATAAGCACAGGGCACTCACAGACACACATACATGTACGTATACACTCACCACCATCCTCTTTACCAGCAGCTTCACGTGATATGTAACAAAACATACATATAATTGCACAATACCACCATCTCATTTCCATATAGATGTACCATGTACACACCTCAGATAAAAGGTGAATTCCCAGAAACTTGCACACTCCCATTTTCATGTCCAAATATAGGATACCTTATCTCCTTATATTTGACATTTTCTTCCCAGAAATTGATAAATTATATCACTGTTTTATGTGTCATCAATCTTCTGAAATGTACTTTATAGAATATTGCAGGAAATGTAGATTTCCTCCTCCACCCACATTTCTAATATTCAGTGCCCTTGGACAAAGATCCTTGTACATTGTCAGTGCGTGTGAAGAAGAGTCATTAAAGTGTAGTATATGTATGTTCAAATGAAAGTGGAGTTTCTGTGGTATGGGTTACAGAATAGGGAAGAATTTCACCCCAAAAGTCAAGAATGCAAATGACTGCATTTCCTAAGAAGACACCTGCAGAAGTAAACTTCTCATGTGTCTACAAAACAGTATTTCTCTGACAGTGAGTTCAGCTTTGACAGTGTACTCAAGTTGAAAGGAGGCTGAGAGCCCAAAAGAACTTACCCAATAGAGAAGAGTTCTAGGGGAAAAGCCTGGATGCTGGTTGTGGACGTATGAACTTAGATACCTTACATGGACATATAAACATATCTATATACTTATGTATATGGATAGCATAACAGAATACCTAAGTAGCAAACTTTTATTCCATATCTACATTTGCCCAATTTTTCAAGTAGTAAATTAGCTGAAAAAAAAATACCACTCATACTTTATTGATTGCATATCACATTTTTTATAAGGTTCAGTTTCCAATATTCTGTATACTTTTCTAAAAATATCACATTCATTCATCTGTTGTAGGGCACCTAGGTTGGTTCCATAGCTTGACTATTATGAATTGAGCTGCTATAAACAACGAAGTGGCTGAGTCATTGTAGTATGCTGATTTTAAGTCTTTGGTATAAACTGAGGGGTAGGATAACAAGGTCAAATTGTGGTTCCATCTTAGAAATCTCCATTCTACTTTCCAGAGTGTTGACAACAATGTCCCACCAGCGTATATAAGTGAACCTCTTTCCCCACATCCTCACCAACATTTATTGTTGCTTGTATTCTTGATAATTGCCACTCTGACTACAGTGACATCTAATAACTAATTCTGATAGCTACATTTATTTAAAAATTTTTAATAGTAAACCCATCATAATTTATCATGATTTCTTTCATAGAGCAGCACCTACTTATATGTACTGCGCTCTCACAATGGAAAATGGCAAGATCAGGCACTAAAACATACCAACATAATCACATATATACAAGCATACACACACACACACACACACACACACACGAACGCATTCACTCCAAACCATCCCTCTTTACTAACGCCAAACATATTCACCTGATAAGTAACAAACAAACATAATTGCACAAAACTACCAACATCTCATTTTCCATAGAATATACCATGTACACATCTCAAATAAAAGGGACAAGACAGATAATTCCCAGATACATGCACCCCCATTTTTCATGCAGAATCACAGGCCATTTTAATTCCTTAGATTTGAAATTTTCTTCCCGGAAATTGATAAATTACATCAATGTTTTGTATGTCATTTATTCTCCAAGATGCCCTTTTTACAATATTTGGCACAAATGGAGACTACTTCACCTACCCACATTTCTAATTTTCAATGACCTTGAGGAAGGAGTTGTGTATTTTGTCAGTGCATATGAAGAAGGAAAGAGTCCTGAAAATGTAGAGTATGTATGTTAAGTGAAATTAGGGTTTCTGTGTTATTGGTTACAAAAGAGGGAGGAAGTTCCCCAAAAGGCAAGAGTGCGAACAAGCGCCTTTCCTGAAAAGACAACAGCAGAGGTACACACTCTCATATGTGTCTACAAAACAACTAGTGACAGTGATTTCAGCTTGGACAAAGTGGCCCAAGAGGAAAGGAAGCTTAAAGCCCAGCAGAAATTCCTCCAGTGGAGTTCAGAGACCCAAGGCAAAAGCCTGAATGGTTGATGGCATTGGACATATGAATTTAGATATTATGTATGTACATATAAAAATATCCATATATTCATGTATATTGATTACATAACCAAAGTAGTAAATTTATAAACTTTTACTCCATATCTATTATTTGCCCAGTTTGTCAAGAGGGAAATTTGCTAACAATAACACCCACACTCTCTTTATTATGTATCACATTTGTGATAGTGTTCATTTTCCAACAGTCTGTATACTTTACCAAACATATCATATTCAAGATTTCCAAATAGTGATATCTAACACACAAACTACTTTTTTTTATAAGTAATGAAGAAACCACTTTTTATAATAACACACAAACCACTTTTATTTGTTTTTCTTTTGTTTGGTTTTGTTTTTTGGTAGCAGACATTGAACTCTCAGGGTCACTTGACCACTGAGCCATATCCCTAGCCATATTTTGTATTTTATTTAGAGACAGGGTCTCATTGAGTTGCTTAGCACTGCACTTTTGCTGAGGCTGGCTTTGGACTTGCGACCCTCCTGCCTCAGCCTCCCGAGCCACTGGGATTATAGGTGTGTGCCACCAAACGTGGCCCACTGTTTTGTAGCTACTTATTATTTTGAAATTTTGAATGGGAACTTCATAATTACCATGTGAGAAAGTTTCACGGTGGTAACAATATCAATAACAATAAAATATCCACTCGATGTATGTTTTAATGACACAGATTTCAGATTTTGCCATACCTCAGTATTTGCTGTTGTTATATTCTCCAGATTTTCAGTACTGGAAAGAGTCTGCCATCGCACCATATATGCTGGAAGCGGCAAGAGAGAATTCATCTGATTCAGAATATTTCAGCTGTCTCTCCCCTCCGAGCAAAACCCTTCCTACTGATGAGTATGGTAAGACAGATGGAAAGGTGGGGTTGAGCCTCAGGCAGGAGGTACTGCTGAAGTGCTAGTCCAACCCTTGCTCACTTTCCTATTCTTCTGAATATGGGGGAAGGGATTCAGGGCAGAGGCATTAATACTCTGAGGCCTCTTGTGAGAAACAAAGAGTGAATGTGCCTTCAAAATATGACAGAGTTCTTCAGCACAGTCCTGCATGTGAACATTGGGGCACTTGTGGGGGAAATGAAACATGCTGAGGTGTGTGGGAATTTGTTCAGAAACTTTCCTGTTAGACAGCACAACTAAACCTCACAAAATAACCTGCTAGAAACCTTCATACTAGATATGTCCCCATTTCTCCTTCCTTTACTTATTCTATAGTACAGTTTTCCCTCTTTTGTCCATCCATCTTTCCTCTATTACCATTATAGTGGTGCTCTCATGGCCAATCATTCTTACAAATAATCAGTGTTATATTCATTGCTTTCCACATTAATCCAATAAATGCACCACATCCCTTCACCCAGATAACTTGTTTTAATCTTGCAATGCTAGGCCAAGAACTAGAAAAAGTTTGTCCTTAAAAAGTAGCATTTTCATATGTAGATATTATCACCCAAATGTCCATACTCGATGAGTATTTCTGTGTTTTGTAGACCAGCACACACTTACATGTATTTTGTACTCTCATAATAGAAAACAGAAACACATGTGTTATAACACACACATAATTACACTCATACACAAAAAAGTACATATCTCTCTATACACACACACTCACTCATCAACACACACATTCACTCATCAACATCCCTCTTTTGTAGCACTGAATTTATTCATAATAAAACATACATATAATTTCATGAAGCCTACCACCATCTCATTGTCCAGAGATGTACAATGTACACACCTCAAATAAAAGAGAATTTTCATATGCATGTACCCCCGTTTTTAATGCCTAATCACAGGCAATTTATCTCCTTATATCTGAAATTTTCTTCCCAGATATTTATAAAGTATATCAATGTTTTACATGTCTTCTATCCCCTGAGATAACCTTTTTCAATAGTTGGAGCAAATGGAGATTTCCTCTACCTTTCCACATTTCTGGTTTTCAATGTTATTGGCCAAGGCGCCCTGTACATCCTCAGTGCATATGAACAAAGAAAGAGTCATAAAGGTGTAGTATATGAATATTCAAATGAAAATAAGGTTTCTGTGTCATGGATTAGAGAAGGCAAGAGTACAAAAGGCATGAATATAAACAATCAACTTTCATGTGAAGACACCTGAAGAGGTAAACCTCTCACATGTGTTTACTTTTGTAAACATCCCCAAATTGACAGTGCATTCAGCTTGGACAATTTGGTCTAAGAGGAAGGGAGGTTGAAAGCCCAGTAAAACTCACTCATTGGAGGAGAGTTCCAGGGATAAAGCCCGAATAGCTGCCAGCCATGGACATATGAACTCAGATATTGTACATATATATGCATACATACACACACATATACATAATATATGTTTATGTATATTGATAACATAACAGAAATAGTTAATTAATAAACTTAATGACTACTTACTATATTTGTGATAAGGTTTGGTTTCCAATATTATGTGAATTTTTAAAAAATATCACATTCAAGATTTCCAATCACAGTGACATTTAACACACACACTATTAATAAATACTATTTGTTTCAAAATTTTGAATGGTAAACATATCATAATTAGCATTCATGGTGGTAACAACACCTGAAAAAATATCCACTTATTGTATTTATTTTTGAATAACACAGAACCTGCATTATGCTATGAGTCAGTATTTCTTGTTTTTTTCATCCTCCAGATTTCCAGAAAAGGAAAGGCATTGCTACTGAACCATTTATACTGGAAGCAACCAGAACTCAGGCAGCAGAAGAGAATTCATGTGATTCAAAATATTTCACCTGTCTCTCCACTTCCAGCAAACTCATTCCTCCTGAGGAGTGTGGTAAGACAGATACAAAAATCTCCCCCCTCAGATGGCAAAACTACAGCTCAGCTCACACACTAATGTTACACTTCAAACTATGTATGGCCACACTTCTCCTTCCTTGCATTTTTTCTGTAGTTCAGTTTTCCCTCTTTCCCCATCCCTCTTTCCTTTAGTACCATTAATTATGTAAACCCTTGCTCCTTTCTTCCTACAAACAACCATTCCTAGATTCACTTTTTTCTAGATTAATCCCATAAATGCTTCAAATCCCTCCACACAGATAACTTATGTTAATTTTGTAATGGTAAACCAAGAATTAGAAAATGTGTATTTCATGAAAAAGAAGCATTTTCATACATAGATTTTTCTCACCCAAATGTCTATGGATGATGGTGATTTCTGTTCTTCTTAAACCACCTCCTAAGTATGTATACTATGTATTCTCATAAAGAAGAATGCAAACATGCACACACACACACATACATAATCACACACATTCACAATCATACATCCATACATATAGACACACAAACATACACTCATCACTATCTCCAAACGTATTTACCTGAAATGTAACAAAATATACATACAATTGCATAAACCTTCCACCCTCTCATGTACCATGTACACACCTCAGATGAAAGACATGACAGAATTCTAAAACATTCCAGATACATGCACCCATTTTTTTATGCTTATACACAGGTCATTTTGTCTCATTATATTGAAATTTGCTTTCCAAGAAACTGACAAATTACATCATTCTGTTACATGGCTTCTTTCCCCTAAGATGCATCTAGAACACTATTGAGAGGAAATGGAGAATTCCTCCCCCTTTTCACATGCAAAATTTTCACTGCTTTTGGGCCAAGGAGTTCTGTAAAATCTCAGTGCATATGAAGAATGAAAGAATAGTGAAAGCTTAGCATATGTGTGTTAAAATTGAAGGGGGAGTTTCTGAATTATGGGGAACAGAAGAAGGTGGAAATTCCTCCAAAGTATGCAAAAATAGGAACAATCATCTTTCCTGACAAGATCCCTACAGAGGTAAACCTCTCTCATGTACCTACAAAAGATCTCCTAATGAACAGTGAGTTCAGAATGGTTCACAGCACCCTGGCAGAAATGAAGAAGTCAGACAACTTCTTCCTCTCTATGAGAGTTCTAGGGTGAGAACTCATGAAAGCTACTGACCTGGGATGAACATGCATACTCATATACTTAATACATATTTATAAATATCTATATAGTTAGATATAAAAAATGTCAAGATGAATGGTTCTTTATACAACTTTTCCTTCATAACCATTATTTGTACAATTTTCTTTGGAGAAATTCAGCTAATAATAATACCCAATCTTTAGTGATTGCATATAATATTTTGGCTATGGTTCAGTTTCTGATAATATGTATACATTTCCTAAAATATCACATTAAAAATATTCTACCACAGTGACACCTACCCCATGTAAAAATTTTATAAATGTTGTTTGCTTTCATTTTGGAATTTTCAATGGGAAAGTCACCTTAATTCATTTGAGAGGAAGTTTCAGTAGTGATAACAAAGACTGAAACAAAATATTCACTGAATATATCTGTTTATGGATGACACAGAACCAAGATTATCCCATATTTCAATATTCGTTGTTGTAATTATTTTCCAGAATTCAAGAAGTGTCAAGAAATTGCTCCTGCACCATGTAGCATCACCAAGATTCAGACAACAGGAGAGAATTCATCTTTCTCAGAATATTTCACCTGTCTCTCGTCTCTCAGCAAACACATTCCTACAGATGAGCTTGGTAAGGCAGATGCAAATGTGGGATCTGAACTCAGACTAGTTCAACTCTTCCTCACTTCACTATCCTTCTGAATATAGGAAAGGGATTAGGGGCAGAGGGAGGCCTCTTCAACATTGAGACCTCTTTAGAGGAGCAAATAAGAAATGTGCCTTCAAAATACGACAAAGTTCCTCAGCACAAAACTGCATGTAAACCCTGGGGCAGCTTTAGGTGAGAGCAAACAGTACAAGACGTGGATGGGAATTTCATCATACCTTCCTTTTCAGATTGCACAATTCACATGATTTATTCCTTTTAACTAAGCATGGCTTCATTTCTTCTTCATTTTGCTTGTTCTCTCATGCAATTTCTTCTTTCTCTATCCATCTTTCACATTCTCCGATAGTATTACATAAGTACTCCTGTATACCCTCAATCTCACATATAATCATTCTGAGATTCACTGGTTTAAACATTAATTGCATAAATACCTCACATCCCCTCAAACAGATAACTTGTTTCATATCTGTAATGCTAGATCAAAATCTGGAAAATTCATGTCCCAAGAAAAAAAAGGCCTTTTATATGCACATTTTCTCTTTGAAATGTACATTGATGACCATGCTTTCAGCCCTTCATAGACCTGCATCTGTTCGTATGTACTATGTATTGCAAATCATAAAACACACAAAAACATGTACATACCCACATACCCTCATCAACATCCCCATTTCACCAGCACCATAACCTTAACCAGCTATATACCAGAACAGACATGATTCCAAAAAACCTACCACCATCTCATTTTCCATATCAGTGTACCAAGAAAATGTCCCAGATAACAAAAATACCACAAAGAGAATTCTGCAAAAATCACATAAACACACAATCCCATTTCACAGACCACACACAGGTCATCTCATTCTATTCAATTTTTTTTCCTAGAAATCAATAAATATCATCAAAGTGTGCCATGTACTTTACCCTCTGAGATGCTCTAGTAAAGAACTTGGAAGACTTGGAGACTTTATCCCCCTTTCCACATGCCAAATTTCAAATGCATCTGGGTATGCGTACCCTCAGTGCATATGAAGAAGGAGAGTCATGAAAATTTAGTTCATGTATATTTGAAAGAAAAGGAGAATGGCTGCCTATAGGATACAAAAGTAGGAGGAAAGACTGTCCCACCAAAAGACAAGAATGCAAACAATTGCCTCTCTTAAGAAGATCCCAATAGGAATAACCCCTCCTGTATGTCTACAAAAGAACTCCTTATAGTGAGTTCAGCTTTGATACAGTAACCCAAGAGAAAAGGGAGTCATCTGGCAGCTCATCAGAATTTCTGATTCTTGAGACTTCCAGGGCCAGAGGCCTGAACTCTTGGTATCCCTGAACATATATATTTAGATAGATGATAGGTAGGTGATAGATAGATAGATAGAAAAAATGAACTAGGTCATTATAGTTGTTTTTAAAATTCATACTCCATGTCCTATAAATGAACAATTTCTAATGAGAAATTTAGATAATAATAATAATGATAATAACTTCTAGTGAGTATATGTCATATTTTATGTATGGTTTAGTTTTCAAAAATCTGTATAAATTTCCAAAAATATTGGGTTGCAGTTGTAGCTCAGTTGTAGAGCAATTGCCTAGTATGCATGAGGCATTACATATTCAATCCTTAGCACCACATAAAAATAAATAAAGTTATTGTGTCCATCTACAACTAATTTTTTTTTAATTTCCAAAAATATCACATCCAGGATATCCAATTTCAATGATATCTACCACACATAATGTCAATAACTATTGTTTGTTTTTGTTTTGGAAATTTCAATGGGAAAACCATCTTACTGATTGTGAGAATTAGTTTTATGGACAGTTAACAATGCCTGAAATATCTTGTTCACTGAGCATATCTGTTTCTGAATGAAACAGAGCCTAGATTGTGGCGTGTCTTAATGTTTCTTGTTATTTTGTTTTCCAGGATTGCAGAAGTTTCAAGAAATTGTTCCTAAGTCATATATGCTGGAACCAGTCAGGGATCAGGCAGCAGGAGATAATTCATCTTCCTCAGATTATTTGACCTCCATCTCCTTTGACAGCACACTGACCCCTAATGATAATCAGGGTAAGACAGATTCCAGGTTATCTGAGATCAGAGAGGGACCCCAGTTGCTTGTCCAACACTGCTCACTTCACTACTTTCGAAATACAAAAGAAGGATTCATTCCAAAGGACCTAACACCAAGCCTTGTGAGGAGGGTCGAATGGGGAATGTGCCTTCAAGAATAGGACTGAATCAGAACCTCAGCACAATGCTGCATGTGAACACTGGGGTAGCAGTGGGTGAGATGGGATAGTGCTGAGATGTGTATGGTAATTTAATCAGAAACTTCCCCCTCAGATGCCACAACTAAAACATACTCATATGTTATAAATATTCATACTAAGCTGGCCCCATCTCCTCTTCCTTTACTTATTTTCGCATACAATACTCTTTTTTTTCTCTACCCATTTTTTTCTATTCTCCATTAACATTGCCTATATACTTCCTTTCACCCTCATTTTTCCATACAACCATTCTCATTTCATTGATTTACATTTTAATTTATTAAATGTTTCATATATTTCCAGACAACCTGTTTTAACTCTGCAATGCTAGACCAATATCTAGGAAAGTTAAGAAAACTCATATGTCTTGAAAATAAAGCACTTTCTTATACCAATTTTCTCACACAAATATCCAATGATAGATATGCTTTCAGCCATTCAAAAACCCATACCTGACCATGTACACTCTGTACTGTCATTTAGCATGCACACGCACGCGCACACACACACACACACACACACACAATCATCACCACCCCCTTTTGACAACATCAAAAATAATCACCAGATATTTACCAGAATATAATTCAACATGTTATTACAAAAATCTCATTTTCCACACAGGTGTAACATGTACAAACTTGGGTTGACATATAACACACAAAGAATTCTGAAGCATCACTGATATATGTACCCCCCATTTCGCATGCCTACATACAAGAACATTCTTATAGTAATGTTATTTTCTTTTATTTGGATTTTTTTTCTAGAAACCAGTGAATCATCTTCATATGTTTCCTATCCTGAATCACATAGTACGTCTGTAGAAAGCAAGTTGGAAGAATCAGAATATTCTTCGTCATTGGCATATAACGAATTACCAGTTTACTTGGCCAATAATCCCTGTACATGCTCAAAGAAGAGGAAAAGGGAAAGAATAATGAAAGTGTACTATATGCATGTTAGAATGAAGAGGGGGGTGGCTGTCTTAGAGGATACAGAAGACGAAAGTCAGCCTCCATGCAAAAAGACAAAAATGAAAACCATTGCATTTCCTGAGACAATCCATACAGAAGAAAATCTCTCTGACGTATCCACAGAAGAACTCCTAACTGAGAGTGATCTCAGCTTTGATGATGTAGTCCAAGAGGCATCAGAAGATAATGACAGACCGATAGATCTTCCACCTCTGGAGACAAGTTCCAGAGCTAAAACACCAGAATGGCTTGTGGCCCATGACAGTGGCTACAGGTGCATGGCCTGCTGCCGAGTTTTCCCCTCCTTGGAGATTCTACAGGACCATGTGAAGAATGGTATTAAAGAGGGATTTAGCTGCCATTCTTTTCATGTAGCCCTTAACTTGCTTAGAAGTAAGAACAGAAATAGAAAAAAAGAAGTATACGAAGAGGAGGAAAACAAAGTCAAAAAGAGCTGGACAAAAGGCATAAGTATCCAATGTCACAACATAATTAGGCACATAAGAGACTTCTTTCACAATAACCATTGATAGCATCATGACCACCAGCACAACTATCACCACCATCAAAAGCCCCAGCACCACCATTATTACTACCATCAACAATACAACAACAATGGCCACCACTATGACTACTACAACCATTGCCACTGTCAATAACATCACCATCAACAGCAGCAGCAACAAGCACCATCATCACTATCTTATCATCACAGCCATCACTACTATCAAGAGTATCACCACTACAATCATAATTAGCACCACCATCAACAGCACCACTACAATTACCACCTTCACCGGCACTACCAGCACCACCATCAACAGTACTATCTGCAGCACCATCACCACCATACCATGACCATCACAACCATTGCCACTGTTAACAGCACCATCAATAGCAGTGCCATCTCTACCATCACCACCAATAGCACTACCATCAACAGTACCATTACCAACATCATAATCATTGTTAACAGCACCATCACCTCAGCCATCACTGACATCAACAATGTTATCACCAGCACAATAGTCATCACCACCATTGACAGCACCACCAGTAGCACATTAGCAGCAGCATCACCACTATTATCACCAACATGGCTAGCACCACCATCACTAGCCCATAACCACCACAACCATCAATACCATAAATAATAGCACCAGTACTGCTAACACCACTGTCAACAGCTCCACCTTCAACAGCACCACCATCTACAGGACTACTATTATCATCATCCCAGCACCATGATCACCACCACCAGGGCCACCAGCACCAATATGGACAGTAGCACTTGTACCACAAGTAGGATTAGAGAAGCCCTTTAGATAATATTCCCCAGAAGAAAAAACAAGTTTGTAGACCACATCAAGCTATAAAGCAAAAATGTCCTCAGGCAAACTAAAGAGCAATGAATACCAGTATATCATCTTTATCACTGGAAGAAATTCATTTGAAATAGAAACTGCTATGGACTGGACTTAGAAGAAGAGGCGAGGTTCCCAGGGGTAAGTAAATATGCCCCAAATTGGAAATTTGGGGTTTTAAGAAATGGTGGGAACAATAGCAGAGAAGTCTCATGAGAAATACCTCCTATGGTGAAGGATTTCTTTCTAAAGAAATTATGCATGGGGCTGGTGTTGTAGCTCAGTTGGTAGAGAGTTTGTTTTCATGTGTGAGACATTAGGTTTGATCCTCAGCACCACATAATTATGCATGAACACTGGGTTAAAGACAAAGGAAGTAGAATGGGTCCCACTAATGACTTCTGAGGAGACATGAGCAAAGGCCTGTCTCCCAGTTCTGAAAAACAGAAGATACTGGGCCCAACATTCTTAGATCAATCTCACCATTTGTTCCTTGGCCTGGCTTCCTTCTGAAAAGCACAGGACAAGGAAAAGAAGTCTTTATCCATGAGAAAGGGTTGATATGCAGGCCTGTCATGGTTGTGATTGAAATTCATGGCCTTATTGTGATTTTCATGCCTGGAAGAAGACTGTACAGGAGTTTCACCCACTCAAAGGGACTGTAATGACTTGAATGTGTTTATTTTTTTTATTTTTCCCCCTAGGAAAACATTTATGTTCTCTGTACCAGAAACTGGAAATGAAGGTGTCTAGTGTCTATGGGGAAGGGTAGCAAAGGTTCTGCTTGGACTCTTCTGACAACTTTGCACATGGATTTCTTTCTAGATGTCCTTCATATTCTGTAATGGAACTTCATGATTCTCACATCTTATTCTTTCTTTTTTCTTCTAGCACCAAGAATCTGGTTCTATATAATCAACAGAGAGGAGATAAACATGGACAAAGCTGAGAAGACTTTGCAAAGCCAGGTGCACGCTGCTATAGCGGAGAGTGTCATTTTTAGTTAGAAGGAAAATCAGACTTGTCTTCAATATTTCTAAAGTCACAGAATCAAAACAGAAGTTGTCCTGAGATTAGCTGAAGACTTGTCTCTATGATAAGAACTACCTTCCTGACTTAAAGGTGTTCTTTTTTATTTTGCTTATCTCACAGCAAAAAAATGGTATGGATTATACAAGGAAGGAGTTTCTCTTCACCAAGCTGTCAGCACTTAAGAACTGAGAAAATACAAGAATAAATAATTTTTTATTAATCTATTTTATAGTACAGTAAAATATATTATAGAAATTTTCTTTAATAATGTGGATTAATATTAAAGTAGAACTATTTGTTATTGAATGTACCCACTGAAGGAAAATCAAGGAACGAGAGATGGGTAAGAGAGAAATATATTATAGAATAAAATATATTGTAGAAATTATTTACTAAAATATATTATAGAAATTTTCTTTAATAATGTGGATTAATATTAAAGTAGAACTATTTGTTATTGAATGTACCCACTGAAGGAAAAGCAAGGAATGAGAGATGGATAAGAGAGAAATGAAAGAGATACACAGGAGAGTAGAGATACACAGGAGAGTTTATTTGTCAGAGCTGACAAATAAAGGCCATCTCTCTATAGGAGAGAGAGGCAAAACAGGCTGAGTTCTGGGACTTTTATGAGGGAGGCTCAGGAATCAGAGCTGGGCAAGTCCTTATGCTTTAAGGATTGGGTTGATATGAATGAGTGGAGTGGCTTTCTCAGAAACTCTGTTGGGTGGGAAAGTGAAACTTTTTCCTTAAAATGGAGGTTGTCACTTAAGGTGGCCATCAAGATGCTAATCACAAGGACCTTAAACCCACTATATCTATATCTTCCTATTTTCAAAGTCAAACTCAGAAATATAGAATAATATTCTAATAAAACTCCAAGTTTTAACCTCCTCCACATTTATGGGAAGAAGGTTTTTCAGATAACAGCTCAATTGTTTTGGAGTAGTAGTTACCACGGTAACTTTTGTAATAGAACTATAGACCATTGCCTTAGCAATCAAGGATTGATTACTCATTTTGGAGAAAAACAGGGGAAAGGAACAGTAGACTCTAACCTGTTTCCTTTCTTTATTCTTTTAGCTTTGTCATTATTATGCTAAATAAAGGCAGTACTATGTCCCTTTTGAATGTAAGTGTACTAATTGCTCTAAAGTTTCTCACAGTGAGTAAAAACCTTGAACAAATAATAAAGTCCATTTCACACCATCACTCTCACCCAGAAGTCACAGTCATTTCATCTATGGAAGAGATACTGAATACCATTTTAGGAAGCAAGATAAAGTAGCACAAGGGGATAGACCTTGACAGACTCTAGGGGGAAGAAAGACTCTTTTCCAAATGGTGGAATGTAACAATGGAAAAAGGAGGGCCCAGAGGAGTATAAAGGTCAGATATTGGTGTTCCTGATTCCTTCACTCACATTTTGAAGGGAGAAAAATGTGTGATTTAATTAACCAATAATTTTCAGATTCTCATACATATGGGTAGATAAGACTGGGAGTTTGGGATTTAGAATCGGAGGCTGGAGTTTCTCTAGATTTCAGTTACTTCTCTTCTTCATTCAATAGAATATGCAAATGATTTTGCTTGATTTTAGTCAAGCCTGGTGTGTAGGCGATGAGCAGTAATTCATTTATATATTGGGGTTGTAAATTTCTTTGAATTTTCTAAATTTTAAAAGACTTGTGCATATGTCATATCATATTCATAAATGTATATTTTCACATTACCATCCTAGAACGCTGAGTATTTTTAAGTACTTCTCTAACTGCATTGATTGACAGCATTTGTTTAAAAGTCTGTCTTACTTCAGTGTTTCTTTTTTGGCACCTTCGTCAAAGTTCATATGACTGTATCTGTATGGGTTTGTCTCTGAGTCTTCTATTCTGTACCATTGATCTATATGTCTGCTTTTATGCCAGTACCATGCAATTTTTTTACCATACCTCTGTAGTATAATTTGAAGTTAGATATTGTGATGCCTTTAGTAATTTTTTTTTTGGCTTAGAAATGCTTTGACTATTCTGAATTCTTCCAAATGAATTCTAGGACTATTTTTCTTTTTCTGTGAAGAATGCCATTGGGTATTTTGATGGGGATTACATTAAATCTGTATATTTCTTTTAGTATGTTGGCCATTTTAACAATATTATTTCTGCCTATTCATGAACATGAAAGGTCTTTCCATCTTTTTGTGTCTTCTTTAAGTTCTTTCTTCAATATTCTATAGTTTTCATTGTATAGATTTACCTCCTTGGGTAAATTTAGTCCTAGGTATTTCATTTTATTTATTTATTTAATTCCATTGTGAATGGAATTGTTTTCCTGATTTCTTTTCAAGAAGATTCATTTCATTACTGGTATATCATATGTTTTAAATACACATACACACACACATACATGCACATTCTCACACTCATAATTATATATATATATATATATATATATATATAATTATATGAAGTAATCAAATATATATATATATTATATATAATATATATATTATATTACACATACATAATGTGGGTGACAAAAAGTCATAAATGAGTCTTCAGGTTTGAAACACAAGTAAAATTCTACAAACAATCATCAACATGTTCCTTTTTAAAAGAGGGTTTTGTGGGGCTGGGGCTGTAGCTCAGTGGCAGAGCACTTGCCTAGCATGCATGAGGCACTGGGTTTGATCCTTAGCACCACATAAAAGTAAATAAAATAAAGGCATTCTGTCCATCTACAATTATAAAAGAAAATTTAAAAAAAAGATTTTGTGCTCAAATGTAATTAAATGTGAACTGTATATATGTAAAATTTTATTTATATTTAATATATAAATATATTTAACATTTTATATATATTTAAAAATTTTAGGTCAAGATTGCTAAAAACAGAGGTTACCAAGGCAACTCCATCTATTTCATGTTAGAGTTCAATATTTATAAAATTTATGCTCTCATATTGAACAAATACATCATTTTGGCAGAGGAATGAAATCATCAGAATTTAGTTCTGATTGGTTATTCTATTTTGGCTTAAAATGAATGCATATTCATTTGTAGACACACTTATTTATGCTAGTCTTTTTCTTTCATTTGTGTTTGGGAACATTATTCTGATTAATTATACAACGTACAATATCCATATCTTAGATAAATCTGGCTTTAATTAACACATTTTATTTCAAGTCTATTAGAATTTGTTGGTAATTATTTTTTGGTATTGGTTATAGTTTATCACATATATGTCTGTCTAAAAATAAGTGTTAATATCTATTGGGTATAAACCGAGGAGTGGGATAGCTGGGTCAAATGTTGGTTCCATTCCAAGTTTTCTGAGGAATCTCCATATTGCTTTCCATATTGGCTACACCAATTTGCAGTCCCACCAGCAATGTATGAGAGTGCTTTTTTCCCCACATACTGACCAACACTTATTGTTGTTTGTATTCTTAATAGCTGCCATTCTGACTGGAGTGAGATGAAATCTTAGAGTAGTTTTGATTTTCATATTTACTAATCTTTACAGAAATATAGTCAGACTACATGTGACTTTTTTTCTTTAAAAACATGCTTTTACATTGTATGTTTATTTTGTAATCCAATATTTTTAGTCCTCTGTGCAAATTGTTTATTCATTACTCTTCTTATGGAAAATTGGGTTACTTATAGCTTTTGGATATAACATATTCCTGCTATGAGCACTATTTTGCAATCCTCTCAATTCACATTAATATATATAATTTCATATGTTGTGTTGATGAACATATTTTAGGTATCCTTTATTAAAAGCATAATAAAGATACACCAAGTGTATTTTCTCAAGGGTTAAATATTTATTTGGATTTAGAACACTGGAGTAAAAACAATGTCAGAATTTTTGATGTTTTCTATTTTGAAGTATTCTATCATTTTTGTGTCCTACTAAATAATATAATGTTTTACTAAATCTATTTTTTCACTTTGTCTTTTTTATGAAAGCTATATTGGATTCTTTGTTGCTATCATTTTCTAAAAGTGTACTAGAATTAGAATGTTTATAAATTACTTCATTCACAGTGGTGATCCTTTAGTAGGTCCATCCAGTTCTGAGAGAGCCTTATCTATTTATTCTTTGTTTTTGTTATTGTTTTTATTTTCTCCAGAGCTCTCAGTAAATAGCAGTTGAAACTCCAGAAACTTCTCTAAAAACAATTAGGAATCAAAAAGTAACTCTTGGTAATTAAATAAGTGAGGATGGAATACATAATTAACCAAAAAAGATCTTAGGAGGAATTTAGAGAAATCGCCTGTAAGAAATACCAGACATAGTATTTTAATACTTGTTTGGGCAGTTTAATAGTTTTAGTAACCACTTACCAATTACTTTTAGGGTATACTAAAAATAATACTAAAAATAATACTTTCAATAGAAAGTATTATTATTGTAACATCACTGTATCTTCTCTTTGCAGAAATAAATTGTGATCTTTAATGAATTTTATTTATTTTAAACTCCTCTCTCTAATCATTACCTTTCTAGGAATTCAAAAGACAAGGTGTAATTTCCATTTCAATACCAAATAAGTATTTCAAATCTCTTCTGTAAAAAACAAAATGCTAACTATTCCCAGAAAACATGCTTTCCCTCAAATATTTTACATTGTGATTGGCATCATCTCTCACCTATTTTAGAATTAGAATCCAAGTTATTCTATTTTCATTACTTTTTTCAATGCTTACATCCCCAACCATCACTAGCCCTGTCAATTCTACCTTGCAATTGTTTCTAAGGGATTTACCTCTCACAAATTCCTCGTTCCCAGTCCAAGTATCATCATCCTCTCACCAGGCAAGGAGTTGATAGGCTATACTATTTCTAATATTTTAAACATTACCCTTTTTTTCCCCAATCACTTGCATACTTCTACCTTCCATTGTGCCTGGAATCTCATCTTTTTCATTTCTCCAGAAAGGGAGTATCTTATTTTTATTGGTTAGGAAGGAGAGTCAGCAAGTCTAGCTATGGTGCCTCATAGCGTAGACCATTCATGTGACTATATAGGTTCAAATTTCCCTTCAATCATTCATTATGTGGGGATCTTGGGCAAGTTTTTTAGACTCTTAAGTTTTTCCTCATTTGGAGATAAAAATTAGCACCTAATTCATTGATTTTCTCTGAAAGTTAAAATAGTGCACTCACATCTCAATCTAGAACATGAAAATAGCCAACAAATTTTACCCTAACAGTAGATCTTTTCATTTTCTATATGTATAGGTATCCTGAACTTCTTCCTGTTTCCATTCTCTTGCTAACTGCCACACTCACATTATTCAGTGTCATCATTCCTGACCAAATCCATATCCTGTTCCTCTTCCACAAAACTTTGAATGGCTAATTCCTCCAGCAAGCTAAACCATCATCTCGTCCAAATAAATGTTGAATTTTCTTTCTTCTTAATGGTATGTCACTTTTGTTTTGATTTTTGTGGTTTTATTTCTCTTTAATTTTTTTTTTCCAATAACCTCGTAGAAGACTTAGTAGTGATAGGATAAATGCCTATGTATGCACTCCAACATAATGCTAAAACCAAGCATTTGCTACTATTTTGAATTTTTGCAATTATTTGTTATACCTCATTGGTTTAATTTTTCAATGTTTAAGTTATTAGAATGTTGAATATATCATATAATGCATATATATGTATAGATGGAGAATGAATGTGTGTGTATATATGCATTTATACACATACACTTGTGTGAAAATTATTTGTTCTATGCTTTTCAGATTGTCTTTTAGGGCCATTACTCTATCATAAGCCTGAATGTATGGGCCCTCATTTTATTTTAATTATGTTTCCAATTCCTTCTTCCCAAATAAGCTATTCAAATTCACATAAAGTGATGTGGCTGCCATCTGTATGTAGTCATTTAGCTTACATGGATAATGCAAATTAGTAGAATTTATATTTTGCTTTTTATTTTTCCTTTCTAATCTTCAACCTGAGCTAGCAAAACTTTAAGGCTATTATAAATTATCTCAGAAATCCACCTAGATTACTTTCTATCCATTGTTGTTTTACATATAGTATCACTATTTTTACCCTTTAATGAAGTATGGCTATTACATTAATTCAGAATGATTTTACTACATCTTAGGTCAATGGATCTAAAGCAATATATTCACTGTGATAATATGTATGTTTTTATTTCCAAAAGTACAGTAAAATTTTAGGTCAAAAAAATAAGTAACTCAGCATCTCCTGGGCAGGACCTCATGACATAGATCCATTATTTGTATGTGCAATTGGATTAAGGTGCTTCATCACTTTTTTCTTAATCTATTAAAACACACGGAGGGGTCTGGAAAATAAATACTGAATTAGGATTGCCAGTAACAATCATTAATATGTAGTATTGTGAGAATTTTAGTGCTTCTCCATGTTTCAGTTTCTTTATCTCTAAAATAAAGGTGACAGTAGTATTAAACTCATAGGGCAGTTATTAATATTAAAATGAATTTATCTATATAAAGTGCTTCAAAGAGTTAGTGCAAACTAGACACTACATAAGTAAAAACTGTTATCATGATCATTATTATTGCCCATTAACTTCTTAATACAAAATGTTCTTATTTGGTTTTTTAAAAATATTTTCCAATAAAATTAGATTTATATGTCTAAAACTTTGAGATTCAGTTGCAAAATAACTTTCAAGATGGCTTGTCTTTTCACTTTCTCCTTTCTTTTCCAAGTGATACTGATCAGATAAATGCATTTAAATGTGCATTAAGCAATCAGAAACAAGAGAAAGACATAAAAAGATGCCAAGTAATTGGATAGAATGCTAGAGATATTTGTCTTTCCTGGTAAAAAGGGTTTTTCAGTAAATATGAGTGTTTAATAACAGCCCTATCAGCAGTGATTTATAGTGAATGAAGTTTAGCTGACTACCAAAGACAATTTATTTCCAAGAAAACTGATATTATATTCTAAGTAGTATGCATCCTGCTCTATAATATGATATACATGGAATACACAAACATGATCTTATTCACTCTCGTAGGTTTTGAGGACTGATCATTTTTCACTCCCTCCACCCCAAATATTGGGAGTCAAACCCAGAGATTTGCATGTGTCAGGTAATTGCTGTATCACAGAGATACACCTTAGCCCAGAACTGATCATTTTTATGGTTGTTGAACATATACTTTTCATTCAACATAAAAAAATAGTATTAAGGCAGAACCCCTTAAATCTTAAAGCCAACATTTCAGTAGACCAAGGAACCAAATAACCAGATGAATTAAATTTTTAAAAAATCAGTTAGAAATAGGTTTTATAGGATTATTAAAATAGAATAATATGACAATCTCTTCATATTGGAAGGTTAAACTTTCCTAAGGAGAAGTCATTTAAACTGATGTCTGAAAGACAAGAATGTTGGAGATTCAAAATTTTAAAGGTTTGTTCTCTGTGAGTCAGGGAGAAATTCTAAGAATTTTTCTCTATAAACATCTCTATTTTCCTCTGGAAAAATTAATTGGTAGAATTACATAGTTTCATATTATCATTTGTTCTCCACTATTTTATTTTAAGCCTGATCTATATAAGCAAAATAGATCATTTCTTTCTTCAGAGGAAGTCCACACAAGGCACTATGAATAGGCTGAGAACTTGATATTTCCCTGCCCCTGATTTGATCTCAGGGTTTTCTTCACCTGTACTTAACTTCTAACCCCACATATAAAGTGCCTAGCAGTGCTTCAAGCAACTTTCTGAAGAGATTTTTATCCATTTGGTAAAAGCAAAAGCTAGGTAAAAGAATATAATTATATAATAAGCGTTGTCAAATCTGGTAGCCTATTCAAGTCATGTAGGATACTTTTATAAATTTCTGATACCAGGTTATATAAATTAAATTAGAGCTTCTGAGGGGTGGGCCCCAAATTCCAGGAATAAATGTCATTATAGGTGATTTATCTAGCATCGATAACCATTCTCCAGTCCAGAAAATTGTATTCAATATAATTTACAATACCATTACATGCTACTTTCTTTGTAGAAAATAAAAACATCACAATAGAATTTATGAATTATTTTTTCAGGTGAATATTATGCATGTTAAAGATGGTTAAAATAACCAAACCCAAGTGGAATAATCCAAATCTGAACCAGTTGAGGAATAAACAAAATAAAGAATAGTCATTTAATTCCTTTAGTTTCATTAATTATATTTGCCAGTAAAAAAAAATGAAATACTTATGTATCCTAAAGTACAAATAATAAACCTGGAACATATTATCTTTAGTGTAAAAAGACAATCACTAAAGACTACATATTATATTGTTGCATTTATTTTCAATGTCCAGGAAAGGCAAACCTTTGAAGATAAATAGCAGATTATGGTTGCCTGATGCTCTACATGGGGTGGAGAAAGGGAATGATCTCCTGTGAGCACAAATGATCCATTTGGGATAATGTAAGTTCTAAAAAGAATTTTTTTACACAATTCTATAAATATACCGAAAATCAGCATTATATTTTTCTGGCCATCAAAGGATCTCCTTCATGTAAATGATGAACAGTTTTAAATAAAAGGCATTTTCATATTTTTGGTTTTAAATTATTTTAAGGTATTACTGTCATAGAAACTATAAGTACTAGTTTACATTTCACTAGTATTTTTCTCATTAAAGTTCTAAAGGTAAAATTAATAAAAATTGGGACACATGAATACTAATACCACCTAAGCAAATTAAAAATCGGTGATCATTATAAAACACTACTATAAACTATGATAAAAATGAGGCTAAATTTCATCTATAATACAATGACAAAATATACAGATTTAAAACTATTCTGGTTCCTATTCATTTTCCATATATGTTAATTTTACATTTTTGTGGTTGTGAGATGAGTTTTCTAAATCTAATTTATATTATATGAAGTCAGAATTTCAATTATAGTATTAATTGTTCAAAAAAGGGATAAAATCAACTCAGAAAGTCACTAAATGATTTACTGATTATTAATTTCTCATCTATTTCTGCACTATTGAAAGATTTGTGCAAGATCTAAGTATTTCAGCTCTAAATATACATAACGATAGAATAGAATAAGCTATAAGAGAGCAAGCAAATTTTATTTGTAAGGGAAGAAATATAAGAAAACTGTTGCAAAAATGCAGTAAATGTGTGTTAATGCGTTAAACATTGTAGTAAAAAATTAAAAGATCAAGTTAATGGGCATAATCCAATGTACTGTGGGCTAATAGAGACCTATCTCACATTAAAGACCTAAAGACCAGCACAGTACTGCTCTTCTCAATCCATGGCTAAGATTAGAGATGAGTGATTAGCTGTAGACTTTGACTAAAGAATATTTGTGATTTTTTTAACATAGAGAATGATTTGTGATAACAAAGCTAATTTATGCAGAAAAATTTTTAATATGTTATATGGAAGACATTTTTTATGATATATTCCTGGGGTTAATTATCTTTGTAATATACATTCAAATATCACTTAGAGTAAATATTTAATGATTAGGAAGTCTACAGATTCATTATGTATATGAGATTTTGCACTCTGATTATTTCTGAGATTGTATTTAGAAAGTTAAGGCAATAGTGAGATTAAATATCACATTACATATGATCCAAGGTTAGGATTCTTGAAAGAAAATTTGTGATTTGTTCAATTTTGAATCTCAAATACAGGTTAGCATATTACTTGTACAAATGTATTTTTTCTTTATTGTCTTGAAATTACCTTCTTTGAGAATAATTGTTCATAAAAGTGCTTTTAACCTGCAAATTTCTGTTTTTCTATTAATTAAATCAGTAGGTAAGCATCTGCTAACAGCATTTTTTTAATCACATTCTGGCTAAAGTCCTAGAAAAAATTGTTAATATATATTTCATTTTGGTTAAGTGGCTTAACAGTTAATATTTAACTAAAATAACAGAACAGTTTGGCTTATAGAAATATGCTATGTAAGTGAGTAAGCATGTATGAGAGAGACATAATAATATGTATGTGTGCATGTGTGTGTGTGTGCATAACCATGATGGGTTAGTACATATTGGGTTAGTAGGGGCTAATCACATAGATATGGAGTCTAAGTCAGATACACCTGCATAAGTTAGTTAATCCCTTCAATTATGAATTTCTTTACCTACATAGGGGAAATAAAATATTAAATGTTATTCAATGAGAGAATATTTTTAAAAATTTCAGTAGAGTATGGCATACATTAAGCTTCATATACAATTCAGCTATTAAACATTTTGAATTATTATACTAGCAGTTGTAAAGCAAAAAGAGCACACCTTATTTTAAATTACTATTGTTATTCACAGTGTAGTTTAGAGGATGGTTTCTAAAAACATGTTATTAATAATAAAGCATTTCATTCTTATTAAACATATATAATATTATAAAAAAGAAGGGGAATATTACAAATATAGTTGAAACTGTCTCTGTGATAGGTAGTGCAACCACTTCTAGATTCATGTTTACCATTTTCTTGCTTTCCATCACATTTCAAAGACATAAATTAACTCTAAAAATATATTGTTTATCTTTGTATATTTTATATCCTTTATGATGAGATCATAATATGAATCTGAAAATTATTCTTTTCCATGAAAAATTACCTCCCTGAAGTGGATTTATTTTGATATATGCAGCTAGTTCACATATTTTCACTATATGTGGTTTAATACAACCTGCACAAAATGTATGAAAGGAAATAAATGAAACATTCTCTGAAAAACTTTATGCATTTACTTTAAAAACTAATGACAAAAGGGCTGGGGTTGTGGCACAGTGGCAGAGTGCTTGCCAGGGACATGTGAGACACTGGGTTCAATTGTCAGCACCACATAAAAATAAATAAAATAAAGGTATTGTGTCCATTGACAACTAAAAAATATTTTTAAAAAACCCTGACAGAAGAAACTTCTTTAATCCATTAAAGGCTAGCTACAAAAGCTTATTATACAAGTATGTTATACATTAACAACATTTCCCTGAAAATCAGTTGAATAAAAAGGTACTTTCCATGAGCACCTTTATTCAATATTATAGTGTAGAGCATTATTAGTGACATAAGATCAAAAAAGAAAAGACATAAAACTAGAGAAGAACAAAAATCAATGTCATTAATATTTTCATTCATAATCACAGTTCCAGATAATTTTTATCACTTCTTCTTGGTTTTTATTTCTACAAACCCCTATTGCACAAAGGGGCTTTTTAAAAATTATTTTTCTAATTCTACCTTTCCCTTATGTTGGTTTGGAAATTATATAGCCTGTGCCAATCACTTTGGTTGTAATCATTGGGATTTAAGCATACATTTTAATTCAATGTTTGAGGCTAGATATTTAACCATGTCTACCTTTGATCAATATATTTACATTTCTCTCAAAATTTGTAAAACCATACTAAAGCCTTAACTCTGATTTTTTTCCATTTCCCTTTATCCATTTTTGAGTTGTGTCTAGTGATTTTCATATTCTTTCATACATTTTAATATTATCTATAATCAGAATTTGCTTGAATATATTCACACACTTGTTTATTGCCCACATTTCATTCTTCCAATAATTTCTTTATTTGGTTATTTTCATTCATTATCTAGTAAAGTATGCAAATTCTTTTACTTCAGATACATTGTAAACTCCCTCCGCTTTTGCTTGTCTGAAAATGTCTATTTAACTATTATTTCTAAAATACAGCTTTGCTAGGAACATGCTTCTGTACTAAAAGCTATGTTCAAAATTTATTTCAGTTTTTTATGTCTTAGAAAATCTGCTGTCAGCCTAATTGTCATTTTGTGGATTATGTCTTTCTTATCTGGTAGCATTTAATGTTTTTTCTCAACTGTTACTATTGGCAGTTTTACCTTGAATCATCCAAGTTTTATTTCTTTTTATTATCTCATTTGGTATTTATCAGAATTACCAAATTTAAGACTGGTATCTTTCAGCAGTTCTAATCATTTTTTAAGGCATTATCATAAATATTACCTGTTCTGCATTCCTTTTACTCTCCTTTATGAAAACCTAATTTAAAAATAATGCCTCATCTAGTATATTGAAAATATTACCCTTTCTTATTTGGTCTCATCTCTTTATCTGTTCCTCTTTCTGGAAAACTTATTCATATTGGTCAGCTAATTTACAAATATTTTATTAATTTTTTAATTTGCTAGAATTTCTAGTTTGTTAGATTTCTGAGTTAGTCATTATTTAATTTTTAGAAATTCAGCTGGATTCTTTCTAAATTTGTGATGGTTATAGTGATGCTTGTTTATTCATGATGTTTTTCAAATATTTGGAATATTTTATTTCTTTTTTAACTTTGTAAGAACGTTGTCTTATAATCTGATTATTTCATTATCTATATCTTCTTGTGTATATCTGATTTGTTTTTGCTAATATTATGTCATTGAACTGTGCTTCTTCATGTTTAATAATTTGAATTTTTTATTAGTACAGTTGATATTAAAATAACTGTACATATTTAATATGCACAATTTGATGAGCTTTTACATATGCAAACATATAAGTACCATCATCATAATCAGAGTAGTAAACATATTTAAGACTTGTCAATCTTTTTGTATGCGTGTTTCCTTTTCCTGTGTCTGTTATTGTGAAACAAACACTAAAAATAAAATCTTTTCTCTTAGCAAACTTTGAATTGTACAATACTATATTGTTAAATATAAGCACTGATTTCTCTAGAAATTATTCAACTAGCATAGTTGTAATAATACCTTTTGAATAATAGCACTCCATTTCTCCCACCCCCAAGCACCTAGAAACCACCATTCTAGCTTCTACTTTTATGAGTTTGAGTGTTTTAAATACTTCATATAAGAGGAATCATGCAATATTTGTCCTTCTATGACTGGTCAATTTTCACTTGGAATAATGTCCTTCAATTTCATGCATACTCTTACAAATGCAGAATTTCCGTCTTCTTTAAGACTGAATATCAGTCCACTGTGTGGTGTATGTGTTTGTGTGTGTGTGTGTGTGTGTATTTGCTTTATTCATTTGTTGATGTATTGTGGTGTTGCTTCTATATTTTGATTATGTACTGTGAATAGTTTTGCAATGACATTGGAATTCAGGTGTCTCTGGTTCGGTTCCTTTGAATATAAATCAAGTAGTGAGATTATTGAATCTTATTGTAGTTCTATTTTTAATTTTTGAGGAGTTTTTATACTGTTTTCCATAGCTTCTATACCATTTTACATCCGCATCACAGTGTGTAAGGATTTTGATTTATCCACAATCTCATCAACACTTATTGTCTTTGTATTTTAATAATATTCATCCTAACTGATGTAAAGTTGTATCTCTTTGTAGTTTTGATTTGCATTTTCCAGATAATTATGTCCCTAATTATATTTTAATGTATCTGTTGGCTATTTGCATGTCTTCTTTGGAGAAATGTCTTTGAAAATATTTGCCCATTTTTAATTAGGTTATTCTTTTTTAAAATATTGAGTTGGTAATTCCTTAACACTTTGAAAATTAATCCCTTATTAGCTATGTTGTTTCTAAGACATAGAGTGGTTTTCTCATTCTGTTGATCATTTCCATGGTTGTGCAGATACTTTTCAGTTTGTTTTGGTCTCACTTATCTGTTCTTCTTATTTTTTTATTGTATTGTGGTATCATATCCAAAAAATTGTTGCCAAGACTAATGTTAAGAAAGGCTTCTCCTGTGTTTTTTTCTAGAACTTTCAAGTCCTGCATTTGACTCTTCAATTTTTAGTTGATTTTTGTGTATGGTATAAGGTAGGGGAACAATTTCAATTTTACATGTAAACATCCCATTTTCCCAGAACCCTTTGTTGAAGAGACTGTCTTTTAACAATTATGTAGTCATACCAAACTTATGAAAGATCTGTTGTCTACACTGTTTGAGAACTCATAATCCTTAAAATTCAATCTGTTGGAATTATCTAAGGAATGGGTTATGGTCTGTTTCTCCAAATAAAATTCATATTTTTATCTGGCAACTGCCTAGAAACACTACCCAATACAGACCAATTAAAACAGTTCCATTGTTATTCCTTTTTTTTTTTGCTTTTGTTGTTCTGTTTGGCTTATTTTTAAAAAATAACTATAGAATGAATCATACACTCTAAATGGAATGGGAACAAATTAGTTGTTTCAAGATAAATTCTTCCCCTTTATTGTGCTCTGCCATAGCTAGATCTGAGACATTATGTGCATTAACAGTTAAACAGATTTTATTCCATTGAATGAAATAGTAATTGCTATAGAGCTATTATTGATCTAGAGCAAAATATTTGATTTTACAAATATTTCTCATAAATGTATGGCACATATTTATGGACAAAACTTCCCAGCAGTGTCCTTACTAACACTTTAAAAAGGAATTTGCAGAGGAAGAATTGTGCTTTGTGTAGAAATGAGCACAAACTTTTTTTATTACAAATTTATTTTCTCTAAAGACTCTCTGTCCTACTCTGGTCTCCCTGTCTGTAGCTCTCAGCTTTATCAGCTGCAATTCCTACATCTCTTCCACTGCCAGAATTTTTAATTAAGAATAATACAAAATATAGATCTTGTTGGGGTTATACTGTACACTACAAGTCATGCATCAATGCACTTGTTCTGAACACATGCTGTTTTTTCAGGTAATTATATTCCTTCAATTCTGAGATGACCTTGATATTAATAACCATCATAAATTGATATCAGCTCTAGGACCTTAAAAAATTACCTCTTCTTTTCAGTAAACAAAGACATATTAGGCTTAATGTCAAATTCTGTTATGGTAAAAATGTGAAAAACTCAAGTCTTAGAAGATAAAATTCTACACAAATATGCTGAACATACTCCCAAGCCTTGGATTTTATCTGTTCTTACTATAGCCTTATTATGAGGGGCTTATTGTTATATCTAATTAGGTGAATCTTTAAGAAGCAGTTTTCAATTCTGGAGATAAGCTTTTTGTTAAAGTCATTTCCTATTAAGAGGCTGAGGCTCAGGAATTTAATTCTGAGGCTAAATAGCTGCAAAGTCAGAGCTCCAATTCCCTCAATTACACAGGGCAATCTTCTTTAATGCAAAAGTCTCCATGTAAATAGAAGAGAGATGAGTGGAATAGAGGAGGGTATTAGGGACAGGAAGAAAAGATGGTGTTCTAGTCAGCTTTTTCCACTCCTGTGACTAAAGGATCTGACTAGGACAAGTATAGAGGAGGAAAAGTTTATTTGAGGGATCACATTTTCAGAGGTCTTAGTCCATAGAAGGCCAGCTTCATTCCTCCACACTCAAGATGAGGTTGAACATCATGGTGGGAGAGTGATAGAGGGAAGCAGCTCACATCATGGTGATCAGGAAGCGGAGAAACTCCACTCCAATACAAATATATCTGTATATAATTAAAAGCTACGCCCCAGTTCCCACCTCCTCCAGCCACACCCTACCACTTCAGTTACCACTCAATTAATCCCTATTAAGGGATTAAATCACTGATTGTGTTAAGACTCTTACCACCCAATCATTTCTCCCCTGAACCTTCTTGCATTGTCTCACATGTGAACTTCTGGGGAACACCACAGCTAAACCATAACAGATGGAAAAAGGGAGGAATAGTGGAATGAATCTGACTGAATTTCCTGTGTACATATATATGTACCAGGGATGTACTACAGTGACTTCTGCCATTATATATATACCACCTTAATGGAATAATTTAAAAATAAAAACTGTAAGGGAAGAGATATCAGTAGAGCAGAGAAAAGGGAGGGAACAGGGAGAGGGAGGAGGGGAAGTAAAGGGTAAGAAGTGTGGACTAACTAGCAAATTATATATCATGCATGTAAATTATCTCCAAATGGACCCCAATATTATATTTAATGAATAAAAAAATTAAAAAGAGAAGAAAAAGTTCTTTTTTTCCCCCAAATCAAGCAAGTTCTTATTATTGTGAAAGTAAACATCTTGTGTATGGAAACAACATGGTTTTTGTAAATGGAACCTTTATATGATAA